GGTGAAGAAGCATGCCAACGGCAGAGCAAAGGGCACTAAAGCGGCGGACATAACCAAATGGATTTACAGATCAAAAACCACCTTGTTTGCTTGGATTTCCATCCTTGATTTATCTTGATGACTATAGGCTAATGTTTTGAGGAATGCTGGCATTAAAGTAATAGTTCACCCAAAAAAGAAAATCTGCTGAAACTATACTCACCCTCAAGCAATCCAAGATGAAGATAAGTTTGTTTCTTCATCAGAACAGATTATATCCATATAATGCATCATTATATACTGCTTTCTCCAGTGAAAAAGTAGTCTCATCTGAATCAGGAGAGAAATATGCACAGATCAAGCACCTTTTACAAGTGAAAACAGGCCAAAACAGTTCTAAACAAATATGTCGATGGATTTGGATGCGAGAGGCAAATTTACTTTTTCATTGGAGGAAGCGTCATGGATAATGGACTCATATATTGGCCAGAACCAATGGTTTAAAGTTAGACCACCTTATTTGCTTGTTACAAATACGCAGCTTTTCAACATTAATTGGTGGACTGAAGTCATGTATTACTTAAAGATTATTGTGATGTTTTTATTGGCTGTTTGGTCTCTCATTCTGACGGCACCCATTCACTGCAGAGGATCTATTGGTGAGCAAGTGATGTAATGCTAAATCTTTTCAAATCTGTTCCGATCTACACTTGGATGACCTGAGAGTGAGTACATTTTTATTCCTGGGTTAACTATTCCTTTAACACACTAGCTGTTGGGTCCCACACCCATAAAATATATTTAAAGGGGTCATATGATGCTGCTAAAAATAACATTATTTGGTGTATTTGGTGTAATGAAATGTGTTTATGCGGTTTAAGGTTAAAAAAACACATTATTTTCCACATACTGTACATTATTGTTTCTTCTCTATGCCCCGCCTTTCTGAAACGCGTCGATTTTTACAAAGCTCATCGTTCTAAAAAAGCGAGGTGTGCTCTGATTGGCCAGCTATCCAGTGCGTTGTGATTGGCCGAATACCTCAAGCATGTGACGGAAATGTTACGCCCCTTACCATATTGTGATG